CTCGCTCACCCGCCCCAAAACAGGTTTTTCCGCTGGTTTTTTGGGGTTTTTTGTTTTGTTTTTTTTTTTTTAATGCGGAGTTTACTTTCTCCCCTTGCCGGGGCGAGGACTTCGCGGGTGTGAACGCTGGAGGATTTTGACGGACTTTGTCAAGGGACCAAAGAGATCAGATAGCAAATAGTTATGATAAAAATTAAAGGGAAAAAAAAAAGTACATTTAGGCCTTTCTTTGTTCCTTATCTGGAAATCAGGAAAAAGAAACACGGAAATGTGAGAGGCCGCGTTTCCCCCAGGCCTCCTTCCCCCCATCCCCCATCAGTTTCGGCCACAATGATACTAAAAGTATAATTGAGACCCTGGCATGAAGATGAACATCGAGCTGCTGTTTCTGAGATGCTCCTCTCCCTACCCGTAACCCTCCCTTCACAAGGTGTAACCGCTCGGAGGCACCTGCGTGGGGTGGACACCGGCAGCAGCCCTAGGTTTTCTCTTGGGTCATCGGAGCCAGTGACTTTGCTGCTTCCCTTCTTTGATTCTGAGAGTCGGGTAAGAAGTGTGGTACTGTAACATGAGAAGTGTGTCAAAGTAAGGAAACAACCTGACATGTGATAAACTGCCCAGCAATGCCTATGGTTTGACAGGAGCTGCTCAAAATGAGTTGAAGCTTTTGGAGTCTGGTTCACCTTAGAGTTTTCAGCATATTACTAAGTATGATTTTCATTCTAAAACTGACCTTTGATGCTTTTTTTTTACGCTTGGGGGAAGGGATGAGCTATAAAAGATAAAACTACTAATTGCGTGCACCACAGAAAAGGATGCTATTTTATGGCTGATGCCTTTTCAGACATTCCTGTTGCTATCAGGACATCAATCACAGTCTTCAAAACAGTCACTTCCTGATGACAGTTATTTATAAATACTTTCATTTTGTCTTTTTTTTTAAGAAGTAACTTTTTTTCCTAGCATTGAAGGTAATTTCACAGTCCAGACAATTGCTGGCCGTTTTGGTCATAAACTAAATTCTGTTCTCTGAACACATCCCATTCCACTGTAAATTACCTGAGTAAATGACCTGACCTAAACAGTGCAAGAAATTGGGTAGGCTTGCGTCATCAAGTACAAGAATACCTTCCAAGGATTTTATTCTGCAGTAGTTGATAAATGACGGGAGAAAGACTCATTTTACTTACAGCATTTGCTTGTGCAAACTAAGAAAAGTTACTGCCTCCATTCACAAAAAATGTAAAAAGCCATTTTGGACACAATGGGGCAAATTAAGAATGTGAAAATAGTTGCTCACAATTTCCGCACACCTTCTATAGTTCCT